TGCCAATGAACCAAAGAAAACAAAAATAAAAATGAAAAATGGTTATGCTTTAAAATCTCTAATGGCAGATGCAGGCTACACCCACACTAACATGTTTGTATTTTAAACCAGAAAATGTCCATGTCCAGACCAACATGTTTCACTTGTGCAGTCTGGACAACAACGGGAGATTAATGAGATGATACGATTTTTATTATTATTTATTTTTAATGGAAATAGGGATTTTTCTTAATGGTGAAGACTAAGAACTAATGTGTGTGCTTGAGCCAGTGTAAAGATGAAACAAATCTTATGCAAAAGACTATGGGGGAAGAACAGCAGTGACAGAGCGCAAAGACAGGCTTGTTTACTTGGACTCACAACAAAGTGGAAGCATAAACTGTCTATAAAAGATAGATGTAGCCACTGTGACTTCACCTGTTGGTTAGTGAAGTTCTGTTATTATGCTTTGAGGTCTGTCACAATACTTGCGTTTTAAGAAGTTTGGATCTGACTGAGAAACAGGAATGCCACAAGCTCACTGGTTAACACATTTCTGACCCAATAATGACCAAAGATTAGAAAATTACCTTTATGTTTTATTTATTAAGACCTGTAACTACTAATTTAACAAATAAATGCATGCGTCACAGGGCAAGGGAGTCAAGTGATGTGTTCCCACAGGCTTTTATATAATTAGAAGTCATTTTGAAACCAAAAGGAATTGCCCCCTGGTGGCAGATTTAAGGCACTTTAGCACTAGCTTCACTTTTTTTGTTTTATTTAAGACCCAGAAGCTACATTCATCTTTTATATGTTTTTTTCCTGTGGGTAGAACTGATGTTGAAAGTAACTTGTGGGATTTGTGATAAAGTGAAACATATGAGGAAGCCTTGGCAATGGCTAAAAATTAAGTCATACTTTTCACAAACATAAAGAATGCAATCATAAATGGTTTCCAAGTCGAGCTACAGTGTTCTCACTTCCTTTTTGTGGCCCTATGAGAAATGTTAGCGTCTGCATCAGCACTTTCAGAAGTTTCGGTTTTTGCCCGTCCAGACTACAACACAAAATCTTGACATACAGGCAGCAGAGGACTTTGCCCCAACAATATCATCCTGAAGTCTTTATCCCGTGTACTCCGTATTTATTTTCTGGATTTCATTCCCCTCTCATTTCTATGCTAATTGTATTCGATGTTATTCGCTGGGCTTTTAGATTTTATTTCACTTTTTTATTAACTGTGCTGGTCTTGTGGATTTCTTCTTTTTTTTGTCTCATTATAATGTATCTATTTTAATAGGCTATTCAACACATGTTAGTTGTATTTAATGTTTTGTACGCAGGAAGGGATAAAATATACGAGGGCAGTCTCGCATATTTTAGGGGTCTTTAAATGCTGGAGTAGTGGGAACATTTTAAAATGCAAACCTATTAGTGTGGATGTACCCAAAGCTGCTTTCTGCTTCTATGTTGTCAGTTAGATGAAACACTTCAGCTCCTCCTCAGTTGACACGGCACGCTCGTATCATGAGCAGCTGCAGGAGGATGAAAAGCGGCGAGACGATGAGGCCGAACCACAGGTCTTTGGCTTGCTCCTGCTGGGCCAGCTTCTGGCACAGCAGAACTTCACACACCAGCTTCAGGCTGAGCACCGTTAGGACCCAGAGGAGCCGCAGCACCGCCAGGCGCTTCTCGTTATCCTGGTAAAGCCGGATGGACACGATGGCAGTGAAGTATGTGCTGAGGCCGTCTGCAGCAAACAGTGGGACGAACACCAGCCACCAGCTTAGCCCGGTGAACTTATCGACTTGCAGGGCGACCAACATGCTGAAGACCATCAGAGCCAGCAGGTGGAGGAAGAGTTCAAAGGTCGCGAAGCCCAGCCACTGGACCAGCTCTCTAAGGGAGAACAGCATGGCGAAGGACGTTGGGGACGGAGTGACTGTGGATGGCCAAGTCACACACAGGGCAGCCCTGGATGCAGGTCAAAGTACTCCAGGGTGAGGGTGGCAGAGGGCTGATTATCCCAGGGCAGGAGTGGTTAGGTGGTGGAGAGGTGGCACACTGTAGGCTACATCTTCAGATCCACCCTGGGAACGACAATAGAAGTGAAAAAGCTAATGATGATCATAGCTTTGTCATTAAATTAGTTTACCACCTTATTTTTAAACATTTGTTTACATTTTACAGACTAAACTAGACAATTTCAACTCTTAGCCACAGTGTTGGCACAGTTTTTAATTTGTTACAGACATATAGTACTGTGCAAAAGTCTAGAGCCACCCCTCAATCCTTTATATTTTGTTTTAAGGATGTCATTTTCTTCTAGTGGTCAAGAGCAACACCACTCCAGGTCTTTCAAAGTTTTCATTTGGATATTGGTTGTTTTTTCCATTTTCAAATCTTGTACCTGGTCATTTTCAGAGGAATGCTTTTTGTTTTAATGATAAGCCACTCATACACTGACCTAACCTCACCTAATCCTAACTAAGGATGAACCGGTGAGCCTACACATAAGTTAAAATAAGAATTTTAACTTTCATCTTTCAAAAAAATAAACAAAAACAAAACAAGACCCGACAACAACACAAAATTTGACAAGTTCAAAATTGTATTTTGGGACCCACAAGTTGATTCCCAAATTATCCAAAAACCTGGCAAATCTTGGCATCCTGTGCAGTGTGTCCTTTTAATAAAAAAAAATTGAAAGAAATCTGGATAAGTGAAGCAGTCGCAGGCCTAAAAAGCGATCTACAGCAGATGAACAGTATCTGTAAGTAATTCCCTTAAGAGGAAATCTTTTTTTTTTTTAACCAAAGGCCTGACACATTTGGCCCTTCATTTGATGCATATATTACTTGCTGCCTAATATACACACCGTATTTCCATTTGTGTTTGCACATTTTTCAATTAACTGGTGCATTTTAAAATGTAAAGAAATGAGGGGTAGCTCGAGATTTTTGCACAGTACTGTAGTTGCACTTAAAGAAACATGCTTAAGAGAGTTCAGAGTGTGTTGAAGAATAAAGGTGGTCACACCAAATACTGACTCTTCCAAAATACTTCTCTCTCTGTATACATGCTTTGTATTTCCATGTAGCTTCATTGCAATATATCCCTGAATGAATTTATCAGAAATAAACCCTTTTGTGTATTTCAAAACATACTGTGCTTCACTCATCAAAACTGATAAAAGGATCACCCAGCACAGTTGAACAAGCAGATTTGTATTATTTTGGAACTTTTACTTATTTATCCTCCACGCACACACACACACACTCATATTTTTAAAAATGTGTAATTATGATTATTCAGCAATAGTAGCGTTAATAACATATGATTTTCTTTTTAAACTATTTTTTGTGTATGCATTGTTTTATTGTCATTTATTGATTTTACAATGTGTTTTAAATATATTTCTCAAAAGTGTACATGATTTTTAATTACACTTTATTGTTTACTCGTAGTCTTTTTTGAATGCTCAGGACCCCCAAAAACACCCATATTTTATAGATACAAGGCTGTTGATTAATAAACGTCACTGACGTCCACTCCCTCCTGATTTCCAGACCTTGACAGCTCCATAACTATTCTTATTAATCTCAGCCCTACCGCTCTGAGTGAGGTAAACACGTCTGACGCGAGAGTAACTGCAAAAAATAGTGTTTAATACAGAGAATCCAGCGGCAATCACGAAGATAGCTTCAATTTAAGCTAATAGCCAGTTAGCTAGAAATTATACTGAGCTTCTAATTACTAACAGTGCGCTTGTTTACATACACAAGACGTGTTTCAGTATAACACTTTTATTTACCTTAGAAACAAATGCGAGTCTTCTTCTTCATCACACTAGATGTCTGAAATTTTAGAAACCACCGAGGCTAACAAGCTGTTAGCATTGTACCTTCTGCTATTTTCTTGCTGCTGAGAGATATCGCGAGAACACTACCCTCACCCCACAGGCTGATACGGTGGCCCTTAAAGGATAATTTGTTTTCTTTTTTTGCGTTTATTTATATATTGTTGAAAAATGCCCAAAGATATATCAAACTGTTACAGATACATGAATAGCAATTATTTGTATTATTTTTTTTCTAAAAAATTAAAAGTATAATTATATTAGACAACCTTATTACAAGCAGAACTGCAGTCGATAGGTGGCGATAGCATAAAACTAAAATCGACACCACCGAAGAAGGACACAATGTCAGTTGACTTCAGTACGGAGAAGTGAGAAGCTGTTGTCTTGAGAGGTGAGTTTATTGGTGTATTTTAACGTCTGCTCTTTTTTCATGTCTTTTAAAACAACTATAATATATTTATGACATTAGCTGCGGTTAGCGATGATTTCTGTAGTTCCCCAGTCAGTAAAAACTGTATTTTCTAACTAAACGTGAAGAAGAGTACCTGCTCAATGAAAAGCTTGAATTAAAGTTCAGAGAAGAATGACGTCTCATTTAAAGTGTTTTTTGGCCTTTGCGGTTCTCACTTTGATCATAAACAAGGTTAGAAAATATTTAGTAACTGTGTTAAGATGCCACTATGCGCTTCCTACTGTGGAGTTATTCTTTCTGAAATCATTACATTTTTACATCCTAGATTTTTCCTAAAATTTTGTGGTCCAAAGTTTGCACATAAATAATACTTGCTGTGAAATTTTAGCTTCATATATCAATATCAGTTTGTTTTCTTTCTTTCTTTCTTTCTTTCTTTCTTTCTTTCTTTCTTTCTTTCTTTCTTTCTTTCTTTATCAGTAGATGATCTGAAGAAACAAAATTCTGGAGTTTCTTCATAGTACTCTTATTATAAGACGATAATTTTGGAAAATCTAATTTTTCATTTTAGACCCCATTTACAGACCTACTGCTTAGGAGGGGTCTTATAATTCAGGTTAAGTTAGAAATATACTAAGAAGAATTAAACATTCAAAAGGAACACATGTATTTTTTTTGAATATATAACAATAAATGTAATAAAACGATTAAGAGTAATGAAAAAGCGATTATTGGCTCATTTCTTGTAGGTAGTCCTGTCAGGCCAAGTCCGCATGGCAGTTACAAGACCGTAACATAATCCTAAGATCTTGTGGTGAAAAGCTGGTTCAGTCTATTAAGATAACATTTCGGAGGCAGCTGTGGGTTGTTGACTCTGCAGTTGGATTGAGCCGAGCTGCTGTTTGAAGAAGCAGCTCCATGCATGCTTGATCAGTGTTAACGGTCACCGAGCTGATGGGCAAATGTGTGACAGAGAGGGAATATTTTGGATCTTTGTCATTGATGGTTTCCCTGTTTCCGTGTAAAGATGCAGACGCCTGCAGAATCAATCCTCCACAGTGGCTACTTCCACCCAACCCTAAGATACTGGCAGACCTGCATTGCCGATTTAAGACCTGACAATCTTATCTACCCAATCTTTGTTACGTAAGTCTTAAAATGACTTGGGGTTGACCAGAAGAAGTTTAGGTCAGTACATTCAAATCTTCTCACTCTTGTTATGTGGCCTTCTTTGCTGCAGAGATGGTGCAGATGCAGTAGAGCCCATCGGCAGCCTGCCGGGACAAGCCAGGTAAGGTCCACAGCCATCAATAGCATCAAGTCTTCACAGCTGCAGCACCCACTTTCAGAACAGCTTAAAAACCTATTGAAAAAAGAATAATTACATTATAGAAGTGTTCATTTTAAGAAAAATCACATGGGGTATGGTGTCACCCTGCAGTTGTGAAACCACTGAGGGTGTAGTCTCCAGATAAAAATAGTCAGGAAGGGCGGAGCCAGAGCCAAACACTGGACCTGGACCGAGATAAGACGAGAATCGTTAGACCTGTACCTCCCAAAATGAAAACCTCTACTTACATTTTTTGGAGCGTCTTGGTAACAAAACATAGAAATGGAAAATTTATTAAAATATCTGTTTACCATGTAAATATTAATTTTGCACATATACAGAATGTAATGAAATTCATTCTGGTTTCTAGTGTGTAATTGGTGTGTCATTTGGGTTCCATGAAACCCAAATGACACACCAGATCACAAACACCAATTACTTAAACTGCAGAAATGGCGTGTTGATGACATAAAGTCTTGGATGATCTCAAATTTCCTGTTTCTAAATTCAGATAAAACTGAGGTTTTTGTATTGGGCCCTTAAAAAAAATAATTCAGAAACATCATGTCAAACCAGATATGTCAGATGGTATGACCTTGGCCTCGAGTAACACTGTGTAGTCTTGGAGTCATTTTTGACCACAATATTTCCTTCAGTGTGCGTATTAAGCATCTCTGTAGGACTGCTTTCTTGCATTTGTGCAATATCTCTAAAATTAGAAACCTCCTGTCTCAGAAATGAGTTCACACGTTTATTACTTCTAGTCTGGACTATCGTAATTCATTACCGGGCTGTCCTAAAAACTCACTGAAGGCTTCAGTTAAACCAAATATACAATTCCTTTTGAATGAAATAAGAACCATTCATCACACAGAGATCCATGAAACATTCCTGTACCGGATAGGGCTGGGCGATATATCGAGTTTTTTAAAAATATCGATATATTTTCATACGAGATATAAGATGTGACAATATCGTTTATATCGATATAGTCTATGTTACGTTATAATTATACTTGTGGAGCCGCAGGTTTGCCTCTCTTTCGTCCACTTTTGTCTCTACGCAACGTTACTCGGCCTCGCCTCTCCTTCACTGAACACAACTCCCCCTCCCCCATAGCTTCACCTGCAGGCAATGACAAGATGAAAGCGGAAAATCTCCGTTAGCGAGTTACCGCGGATCGCCCCGTGCGTGGGGCTGGACGGCGTCAACGTGTTAGCGAGCTAACCGCGCTAACGAGCTAACCGCGCTAACGACATGCAGCCCGGAGGGGCTGCACGGCCTAAAATCCTTTCATTTTCTCAAAACTCGACAGTGCGCCTTATGTATGAATGGTCAAAATTTGTGTGCGTAAATAAAAATTTGTGTGTGCGTAAAAAAGATTTGTGTGTGCGTAAAAAAGATTTGTGTGTGGACTTAGAAAAAAACCCTGCAAGTTACAAGTACGGATTTTGACCCTATTTTTCTTCCCTTCATCTGATTGGTCAATGTCATGTCAATCACAAATGTAACAATCCAATCAGAGAACAGATGGGTTTGGCTGTCGAGGGGCGCTTTTTTTGAACTGCAGGTCTTTGAAGGGAATAAATGCCCTTTTACATGCCAACCCAGCGTTTTCCTTCATCACCACGAAGGAAAACAGTCTGTGGTCGTCCGAGTTTGGTGATTTTTGTGTCACAGGTCTACGTGTTTAATACAGGGACTTCCACAGCCTTTTCAACAGCGCTGCGGACCGCGGGGTGGGGGCGGGCAGTGTTTTGGAAATGACAGTCTTCATTACAAAGCTTTCTTCGTTATGAATTAGCATACATGTTTTTATTGAACATTTGAAGAACCAGCAAAAAAAACAAACTCTTGTAGAGGACATAAAGTCAGAGATAGAAAAGACAAGGAGCAGGTGCATCTAGTACAGGTAGAGCTGCTGCAAAAACCCACAGAGCCCAGCAGCCAGCAACAAATTCTGGATCCTTTGCTTTTAGTTAGCAGTTAGCATTAGCAGCACATCCTGCGTCCGATGTGAAAGGACTTTTATGCTGCGCACTGTGACTCACAGCAATGGTCCCGGGTCAGCCCTGACTTTGTGTTAAACTAATCCTAAAGTAATAATGGTATTTCTAACCACTGATATACCACAACTTTTTCCTTTCAACAGCTACTGAAAGTTAGGGGACCTAGCTGCTATCGGATATTTATATAGCGATCCTCCAGCTTCAAACTGTATCACCCTTCAAGGACCTGCAGTTCAAAAAAGCGCCCCTCCGACAGCCAAACCCATCTGTTCTCTGATTGGATTGTTACATTTGTGATTGACATGACATTGACCAATCAGATGAAAGGAAGAAAAATAGGGTCAAAATTCGTACTTGTAACTTGCAGGGTTTTTTTCTAAGTCCACACACAAATCTTTTTTACGCACACACAAATCTTTTTTACACACACAAATCTTTTTTACGCACACACAAATCTTTTTTACGACATACAAATCTTTTTACATACAAAATATTTGACCACATTTTGAGCCCATTATGTATGAATTCTGGTTGTGCTTACTGACCGCGAACCGATTTTATGTGGTACACAGCGCTCAGCAATCTGTCAAAAAATGTTTTAATATGACTTTGCTAAGCTACGGAGCTGCACCGCTTGATGGATTGTCGGAGGATTACGGCTACCGAGGAGGAGCCTCGCGGAGTGATACGTACTGTGTGTGTATAAGGACCACAAATGGCACCTGTTCAGAGACGTGGTGCAGCTGTGAAATCTGTCTCTTTGTTATTATGCTCAGCGTCTATTAGTTTACATTTTGACTGCACAATTGTGAGCTTTTTGTTATGCACAAAAACAACATTGTTTTCTTTTATTTATGGACCATGATTATTTAATAAATGCTGATAATTTATTTTTGAGTAATTTCTTCATGTACATCTACGCTGTATGTAAATAAAAGTGCCCGTGTGACATCTGGGACACAGTGTGACTAAGAACTCTCTTTTTGTTCTTAACTTATGGCTTAAAAAAAAAAATCGAGATATATATCTTATATCGCCATCCAGCTAAAAAATATCGAGATATGAATTTTGGGTCATATCGCCCAGCCCTTCCCTGTGAGACTGTTGTGAGTAGAGATGCTATGTACATCACTCACAGAAGCTAAACCAGACTTCAAACAATCCTTAATTTACCACTGTGGAATAAATGGCAAAGGTGATGGTTTTGATTTTAAAAAGCATAAAAGTTAATTTTGGGACAAACTTTTTAATCATGTTCATCAGATTTCATTTATATCTCTCATTGACGCATTGAAAATTAAATTATTTCAGATAATGCTACAAAGTAACTCAAAAAGATGAGCGCTGAAT